CCTGACTTTAAAGCTGGATCCGCCCCTGTATGGAGCAATGAAAATGTCCGGTGGCTATCGAATCACCTTTGGCCGAAATAAATATTCGAAAAACAGCAAAAACCTTCAAACATTCATTCACATCACATGAAATCCTGAATTTTGCGCGCTTCTTAAATGTTGATTTCAAAATGAAAGCTTTTACACAACTGCAGATTCTTCGTTTTTTTTAATGAAATTTTGCCAAAAAGTTGCACCTATAAAGAATCAATAAAACTTCAGTGCTTGTCGGAAAACTAAACTCAATTCAAGCTAAAAGATTTATAGATTAGAGATCATTCTTATCAGCTTTCTGCAAGCGGGGGCGCCATCCTCAATTTTCTACCTCTTAAGTTCATTACACTTTCACAAACTACCGCACTTGCCATAAGGTTCACAATGATTCTAAATGTCTCATGTAAGAACGGGATTCATTCGACACAAAGGATCATCGACCAATTTCATCCTCTGTCTGTAACAAACTGAACATTCATTCATTCAAACACCTTTTCGACAAAAAAGACACCGAACTACAGAATAAAAATGATTATTTTTAATCGTTCGCCCGCGTTTCATTGTTCGTCCTTTCGATGAGTCATGTTTTACTTCGCAGGTCGATTTCAGGATATTGTTGACATTTTTGTAGAAAGTGTCCGTTCGCATTGCAATATTTCTAAAGGCAAGTTTCACGTTCCAACTTAACGAAAGTCAACAACCGCTAAACGAAAAACGCTCCAAGCGCCGATCTTTCACTAATTTGGCTTTAAATTTAGAGCCTTTTATATTTGTCTGAATTTCATTCATCTGCAGTGATTAATGCACAACGCCGAAACTCAAATTAAAAACCGAATTTTGTTTTGTTTCTAAAAATATTGACTAAACAAAAAAAAACATGAAGGAATCATTTAAAATAAAAGTGTTGCTCAGTTAATTAATTTCCGAGCGATGATAGAAACCAACGAAGTTTCAACTAATTAAAAATGTTCTTGCAATTCGACGTGCGGCGCATTGAGGTGCGATGACTTATAGCACGTTAACAACTCACTAGCGCAACTCAACACAGTGTTACCCAGAGACAAGGGATAACTATATATTTCATGTAATTCGGTTAATGTAGTTCTATAATATTTCTTGTCTCTGGTGTTACCCAGGCCTATTAGGGCCATTAAATTATCTACCGTTTTTCACCTATCCATTCTACCGCTTTCAAAGTTCTTGGTCTGACAACGCTGCATATCGTATACATCTATAGACCATAGATGGGGGCTCATGGTTCTCTGCCTCTTTCTTTCTACCTGAACCCGTCGGCTTCTGCTTTTTCTATCCCTGTGCTTTAGACAAGGAAACAGTAAGGATGTTTTTGCCAAAGATCCATGCACTTTATCCGCTGTGTCTACATTTACTCTCTATGTTTACTCTGAAGAACGCCATCACAGATCGGGCACAGATTATAGATAACCTCCATGGTCGTCATGTGAACTCATTTTTGGCAGAGACAGGTGTTGTTGCTTTACAAATTGGTACCAGTTCTAATATATATATAGTTTCCGTATTTAAATATGTGTTTTATTTATTTTGTTTATTTGTCTCTCTCTCTGTGTTCTATGTTTTTTATCAGTGTCGCCAATGCCCTAAAACCATGGTCTAATTAAAAATGACTTTCTGATTGCCAATAAATATACCGCTTACTACCTGTAAACCAGCTTCATCTATGTGAGAACCAACTCTCACCGCAGGAAAATTTATTGAAACTTGCATATATGTGGGCATTTCATTAAAACTACTAAAGTAAATTTACATTTCCCGCACATGGGACCGGATTCGGAAACAGCTCAACTGACAAAGGAAAACAGACACCATCTTGAATTCGGACAAATCCGACGCCCTGATTGGTCGAATCAAAAACAGATGCGTCAAAGCTGAAAGTGAACGGTTTTAGTTCCAGTTGTTTAGCTTAAGCTTATTTTTATACCGGAAAAGTTCATTTTGTGCATTGTATAGTCTAGTTTAATATATAAATTTGTGACCGAAGGTCGAAGAATGTCTGGTTCAACTAGTTTCCAAGAAGACTTTAGAGATGTAGACAACGAAGGCAATAATTCCTCCGGTTGTTTAGACATGTCTTTCGAGACGTCTGGGGAGAATTTTCCTCTCAGCCCTCAGCCGATCCGGAGGAAAGATACTTTCAGGTAATATTAAATAGCTGTGTGTGTTTGGAGTTCTTTAAAAGATAGCTGGGTTGTTTTGCTTCTTTGTTTTCGTGTTAAGTAGGTTAGCGTGGTATCCTTGTGTATCACATCATACAACTAACGATCACAAGGTTTAAACTGGAATTATTTAATGGCACTTTGAATTTGTGTAATTACCGCTAAAAACTATAAGGACTAAGTGCGAGTTCGAATTATATCTGCAGCCTGTTTTTGCTTCTAATGACAACCGCATGCATGGCGTGGAAAACGAACACTTATCACTTTCAGCTGTGCAAACGTGAAATAATGCTAGTAATTGTTGCAGGACTGAATTCTCGAGATTGCCAGCCCCGAAAAAACTCACATTCAGCCCTCCGTATAAGCGGGTCAGGGCTTTGAGGCTGTTCGACAGCCCCCTTACACCAAAAACGATTATTGAGAAATCTTCAGTTCCGACAACGCCATTGCCTAGAAGCAGATTATTTGGGGACAGGCCGGTGGCAGTCCCAAGCGCTTATGCAGAAAGGATCAAACCGACTGCTAATGTTAACCCATTCACCCCAGATGGTAGAAAAAATGTGGAATACCAAAGCGATCTGCTAACCTATGTTGTTTTTAGCCCAACTGTTGTCTAAGAAAAGATCTCGATCATTGAGGTCGTTAGAATCGCCTAATCTGAAGATAACTAGAGTGGATTTAAACGACTCAGATGTTTCGGATTATGATATTGAACAGCCGACTAAGAGAGTTGCTTTACAGGTGAGAGTTTGCTACTTACAGGTTTTAATGTACAAACCTTAATTTTTCTGCAGTTAAAGTTACAACACTCTTAACCCATAACTGATTTTTTACTTTCTTATTAGGTTAGATAAGAAATTAAGAATGTTTTATTATTTAGAAGTCGCCCTTTGATTACTGTCGGGCTGTACGACGTACGTACGTATTCAACAGCAGCAAAATAGTCTTCACAATTTAAGTCTGAAAACTATCGACTGTACGGTCTGAGAAATTTTAATCATCGTCGAAAATGTCTAACAATTTCATTAGTCAGTGGATCTTTTCTAGAAGAAAAATGCTACAAACATATGTCAGATGTTATCCATCTAGAAAACTATAAATGAGTAGATTCGCTGGTTACATATCATAAAAAGTTATAAAACAGATACATGTCCAAAAACCTATAACTTATTAATTTACCCACGAATTAGAAAAAACTCTGGCATTTC